GGGGGGGGGGGGGGGGTCTCGCCGGAATTTGGATCACTGACGGTAAATAGGAAGGGCGAGAAAGTGCGAGGGGGGGGGCAGAGATTGCATCATGCTTCGCCAGGTTTGCCGGCGTGCCACCGCTCGTTATCGCACACACACACACGTAGAATATTCGGAGAATTTGTGGCCCCGCCCAAAAAAACCCGCCACCCCGTACTGCTGGGAAACCCCTCTTGCTTCTTTTTTCACCACACGATGATGGTACACGGTTGAAGGCATACGTGGAGAACGTCGCCCTGACCCAGCCGGGAGTCCGGCGCGTCTGCCTCATCGCGAAGGCAGGCCTGCTGGGCATGTACGCCTCCTGCGGGTTCACCCTCAAGGGCCTCAGTCCGGTCGTGCACGGAAAGGACCCGTGGTTCGAGATGCGGATAGACTTGGACTCCTCTGAGCCGCGCCTGCTTAGATTCGTGCAGGTGACGATGACGACGGCGGGGGGGGGGGCGGCGGCGCAGTACGTCAACGTTTTGCGCGTGTATTTTCCCATAATAAGATGAGCTAGCTGTGGTTTGGACGGCGCCTGAGCCTGCTGCTTGTGCAAGCGCTGCTCGGTCCCGAACGACTGCGGGGTTTGTGGGGGATTGGTTGGGGTCCGAAGTTCAAGTACGTAAATGCACCCACAGTGTGGTGCTTCACGTTGATGTCTCGAGGGTTTCGTGGACGCTTTGCCTTGAACGGACTCGTCGCCTGTTTGGGGCAAGTTCAGTACCCAAACGGGTGCTCGACTGATGTCCACACGTTTGATGGGTCCGTTCGTCGGAGACAATGGTGTGCAGTGGATTCTGAAACCCGTCTTCTGGCGTTGGAAGCGTTATTTTCTTGCATAGACGATGTGCACTGGTGTCTGTTTTGATTTCTCTGTCAAGACGACATGCACACAATCCACCACGACAAAAGGCGAAATATATGCCGTTTTTTTTGTAAGCCGAATGGGTCACAGACGAGCACAAACGTAGGTGGCCAGTCGCATTCTCCGGTTGCAGGAGCGATTGAATATTCGCGTCGCAACCGTGCCGCAAGTACTGCTGCGCCCGTGAACAGTAGCTGTAGTTTTCTCCGCCAGATTCCTCAAGTTTCTTTTTTCTTAATTTTTTCGTAGAATTGGTGTTGGGTCGAGCGTGTCCGCTCGCGTGCCTTTACCTTGTACCGCATTCGCGTCCCGGTGAAGGTGGATGCCTTCTCTGACCGAAAGTTCTGCGGGAATCCGGCAGCCGTGTTCTTCACCCAGGCGGGCGGAGACGCTGATTGGATGCAGAAGGTGAGTTGAGTGTCGTACTGCACAGGTGCGTGCTTTTGCCTCTCGCGTCGCCTGGCCTAGAGTCAACGAGCGAGCAAAGCAACAATTAGGTTAAAAAACTCCTTTGTGCATGTTTAAGTGTAGCTGTTACGCCTATAATAGGACGCGGTTGGCGGCAACAAGAAGGAGCGTTTTATTTGGACTTTCTGCCTCGGCTGATGTGCCTTTGCTAGCTTTCTCCGAGTCAGAAGACGCAAAGCTGTTTCAGATCCTGCGGCCGTTGTTTAAAATCGTCAACTCATGCCCACGATCCTTGCCATGGTGCGTGCGATCTGATCTATCTGCCTCACGATCACTGCATCCTTTTCCCACCCGTTCGAACAAGGTTGCCGTGGAGATGAACATCTCGGAAACATGCTTCCTTGAGCTGCAACCCGCCACTCCGGATGAAGGTTTGCATGGTTAAAATGCGTTTTGCGTGTTGTGTTAGTGCTTGTCTAGGCTGCGGTGACGGGGGTACAAGAGTGTTAAAGTTCTTCTTGCCGAGAACATTTCGTTTTACGGTGAAAGGCTTAACGTGGAACGTGAATTGTAGGGTCCGTGGTTGGTTGCCCACCACGGAGTTGCAGTTCGGATCACCGACGCAAGAAGGCCTCGAAAGCAGCTGCGCTCGATGCTCAACGTCAACTGCAACGTGTAGCACAGCGTCTCCTCTACACTGAGTGGTTATTTACCTACATCAACGACTGAGATATCGCGGCTGACAAAAGTATTGACGTCACGGAAGGAAACAGAAGGCCGGGGTAGACTGAGCGGAATAGACGTACCATTAACCAAGAATTTCGGGAAATGACCTTGCTGCATGATAGATGCTGCACGATGCATGATGATTTTTTTTTGTTAACAGGACCGAAAGGACCCTCGACACAGCAGTAGTCAACCTGCTTCCACCACGACCATCGTACGAAAACACGCAGAAACAAACCAGTTCTCACGCCACAGCAAACGAAATTTTCTCAAGGCTAGCTTCTGTTTGTATTGTACTGACGGTATCATGCAGCAGCGGTTGTATCATATTGTTGATGTTGTTCGTTGTTCGCGTATTGGGCGATTGTCCTTGACTGTTGGAACAAGCATTAACGTTCTCATCCCCAAGTGTTGGATTGTGTGTGTTATTCCGTGTCGGATACGGTAAACCGCACACTCCCAGGACCCCACCATATGCTAACGCCCACCGTTCTCGACGTTCACACCGTGCGCGACTTTACTCTCCTGTCCTCTCCTGTCCTCTCCTTCCCTCTCCTGTCCTCTCCTCTCCTCCCTTCCCCTCCCCTCAAAGCTTCCTCGATGGGACCAACGTACGCTCTGCGCTGGTTCACCCCCGGAGGAGAAGTCGACCTCTGCGGGCACGCCACGCTCGCCGCGGCGTTCGCGCTGTGGGAGGAGGGGAGGGTTGGGCCAGGCCTCCCCATCAGGTTTTCCACCGCGAGCGGCGTTCTCACGTGCCGCCGCGACGCGGAGGGCTGGGTGGCGATGGATTTCCCGTCTGAGGTGAGCGAGATGGATGGCTAAGATCTAAGATTTGATAGCGGTATGCATGGGACTTTTGGTTGACGCATTTATCCTTTGTCTTGATTGCTCTTGGCGGTGTTTGCTTTTGACCGCTTCTGCACCTTGGATCGGTGGGGGGCACGCCTTAAGATTTGGCAAAGACGTGATAAATGCAGCTATAGGAGTTGAACTTTTGAATTTTTTGAGGCATTAATCTTTTTGCCTTGCGTATTCTGCGCTTTCTTCCCCTTTGGCTGCTTCGGTGCCCTGGATCGGTGGGGGGCGCTTTCGGAAGTGTTTTTGCAGCCGTAAGGTGTGACAAATGCTGAAATCAGGAGTTCTAACTAGAATTCGCCGGCACATGGTCGATTTTGTTGGTGTTGTTCTGCGAGGCGTTCCCCTTGAGCTGCTTCGGGGGTTACGATCGATGCGATAGTGCATACGAGTTTAGGACAACAATTTCGCCGCCGTGTGTGTTCCTTACTCTGAGCTTGATTCCCCTTAATCTGCGCTTCGTTCCCCTTTGGCTGATTCGGCGTCACTTTTGGCTGATTCGGTGTCACCCCCCCCAGGTGGTCAGCGACGCGCTTCCTGAAGATGACGAGGGTCGCAGGGCCATCGTGCAAGCCCTCGGTCTCGCTAGTGCCGGAGGAGGAGGAGAAGGAGAAGAGGGCGATGGGGTGCTCTTCGTTGGCCGGAATCGCTGTGACGTCATGGTTGAGGTAACGGCGGCCTCTTCTTTTGGAACGTGTAGCTGATTAACAGAGGACCATATTTTGTTGCCGTAGGAAGTATTTGATTTTTCAGCTGGTGACCCGGAACGCGTCAACGCGGCGGTAAGAGGTTTGCCGGTTGGTGCACGCTGGTTGCGGTTCGGTATTTATTTTTGTGGTTGGCCGTGGCAGTGACTTTACTGCGTTCGTGCGCAACAGTACAACGGACACAATCCAGTCAAGCGGTACAGTTCACTTGGTTTCCTTTGACGTCGAAATCCAACATCTGTTGCGAGGAAACGGTCAAGCATGCCAACGCCTCAGAGGAACACCGAGATCGGTGGCATGCTCCTTGTAGTCATTGGACGAGCGCGCTACGTGGACAAACAGTCAACACCATCGCCAATGTCTAGATCGCTTTCTCTGCAGTTCCACCTGTTCCTCCCTTGGGCAGCGAATGTCCGACTAAAATAGAACCTCACTTGACATTTCTCTTGTATAGCCGTTGGGCCCATGTGTTACTGTTTTCCGTTCTATTTTTTCCCACGCTGTTGCTCTCGTTTGCCACCAAGACCCGCCCAATCCGCACGCCTCCTTTTCCTTAGCGTAACCGCCGTACGCATGTAACAATTTAACTTTTTAGGTGACCCCGGAGGCGTTCTCCGCAATAGCGCCAGACATGAGAATGCTCGCCGCAATCGAAAGCCGCGGGTTCATCGTGACGTGCAAGGGTCAACAATTGAAGAAGGCTGGGGAAGAGGGTATTAGTGCTGCTGTCGACGGCGTTACAGGTGAACAAACATCTTGCGAAGCCTTATTGATAAAGACACCGTAAGAGTAGTAGCGACGTTGGCATGAGTCGTATTGTGTACGAGTTGCTTCGGGTGAGATTCTGCACTGCTGTCGAGAGGGGAACGCAAGACGATCGATAGAGGTGGCCGTGAAGTATACGGTGTTGCTACCCTGGCACGGCATGCACGCCACGCGAGAAACGTCCAAAACACGTATTGTTGCCCCCATTCAGCAACACCCAAGCCGTCTCGGACCTTATCATCTCGTTGCTGCTGGCACTACGGGTGTAGGGCCCGCTGCCGAACCGTTACTCCGAACACACTCACAGCCACCAGTAGCTATCCGCGTCAGTTTTTGCTCACCGACCTAGCAAAGGGTCCACATCGCAAGAAACCCGCCGCCTACAGGTCGTTGTTAGTAAACCATAATCGACTTCGTAAGTCGCGAGGGAAGGGATTGCTGTACCCTTCTCGCGATAAAAATACCTCAGGCAGGAACCGCAGGAGGGGGTCCAGCCGCCCCCTCCTATGTGACCCCGGTTGGGTCGTCTAGCTAGTAGAAGTGGAGGATAGGGGCTAGAGGGGCAGACGACAGAGTCCAATGATGTGAAAAAAAATAAAGTCTACTTACGTCGCCGCGTACAGGTCTACTTACGGTCTATTGCCGACTCTTGAAGTCTGGCCAGATTTAAAAAAACAAGCGCAATTTTCCGTGTTTCGGCAGACGGGGGTTCCGTGGAGTTCCAAAGCCGGTTCTTCGCGCCTAGGATGGGCATCGACGAGGACCCCGTGACTGGGTCGGCCCACTGCTGCCTAGCGCCGTATTGGGCCTCGAAACTCGGCAGGTGAGCGGCGACAAGTTATTGTGTCGACGTCCTCGTTGTTTTGCGCTAGTTTTTTTATCGACGTTCTCGTTTTTTGTTACCCAGTTTTTTTATTTCGCGCTCGGTTGGTGTCTTTGTCATCTTTGCCGTTCAGCCAGACGTTTTTCTTAGTCTTTGCGGAACACAAGACTTCAGATGTTTGCCGTCACAACACGAGGCTTGCTTGCATCTGAAGTCAGTCTCAAGCACCCTCCTCCTAGGACACGTACAGAGAACGGTATGCCGTGAGAGTCGGAGAGATTGCGAGACCCGCCTAGACCGACTTTGAACGCTTGATTCGATTGCTCTACATCCTACGGGGGGTGCGAAAAGAGAACCCGACACATGTGAAGAAAAGTCCTCTGCGGATGGATCCAAAACCACAACGAATGAACGTTGGTGTTGCAATGGTTGCGGAGCAATCGAGTGTTGAAGACCGGATGGTTTCAAGACCACCCGGTATGGTTCCAAGACCACCCGGTATGGTTCCAAGACCACCCGGTATGCACAATCTTGCTTGTGGAGCAATCGAGCTTTGAAAGTTTAAAATTGGCCTACCTAGGGGAGGGGTGCCGTCTCGGAGGCGGGTGTAGGTGTCCGTGCAAACATGCAACAACGATTCGTCCCCTCACCCACCCGTGGCCACTCACTCACGCCCTGCCTGTCCCCCACGCCCGAAAAGTTGCTGAAACGATCAATAATATTCCGCGTGTGCCGTGCCGTGCCGCTGGCGGCGCTGCTGTCGCGCGTGCCGAAGGAGATGCATGGTGGGTTACCAGGCGTCACCAAGAGGGGGAACTGTTCGGACGACCGTTGGCTTGAAAAGCGAGGGAGACGGCCGAGTCGTGCTGGAGGGGAAGGCGGTTTTGGTGTTTCGCGGGCTTTTCCGTCGTTGACATGCAGCAGCAGCAGCAGCAGCAGGCAGCACGCAACTTGGGGTTGAGGGCACCGGGGTCAGGGTCGTTTTTGCAGGTTGTTGTCCAGTTGAGAGGGGAAGACAGGCGGGTATAGCAGCAGCAGCAGCAGCAGCAGCAGCAGACGCAGCAGTAGCAAGCAGTAGCAAGCAGCAAGCAACCTGGGTGAAAGAGCACCGGGGGTAGAATCGTTTTTACAGGTTATTGTCCAGTTGAGAGGGGGAGGAAGGCCGCGCGTGTGTGTGGAGGGGGGGGGGCGGGGGCGGCTTGGGGAGTGCACATTAAAGGAGCTATCCAAAAACACGCTGATGGTAAGGAAACGCGGGTTTCCGCAGCAAAGACAAGCAACACTAATAGCGCTGGGCCCATGGCTGCAGGTGCAAACTGCTGTGTCAGCTTATTTTAATCCAGCCACCAGCCAATGGAATTCTGCAGCTGCCTTCTCGACGAAATACCTCCACCAGCCGCCGAGGGGTAGACCAGTCTGTCTTCGAGTTTTAAACACCCGCGCAGCACCCCATTCGATGCTCTGGCGGAACCTTTCTATCCAATATCCATCCATGTGATTCGGGTCGAACGAAAAAAAGCATCACGTGATCCCAAACGCAGCCTTGCAGTTTATGGAGCTGGGCTGATGAGCCTCACCTATTAAAGGATAACAAGGAAGATACTAGGTTTGTTCGTGACGTCATCTCGAGGACCGGCGGGGTTCGGCATGGTGGTACATACAATACGACCTTTCTTTCGACCCCAACTTCAAATCAAAACCTCCATCCATGTTTCTTTTTGTTGCTGTTTTGCTCCCTGTGACGCACCTTGCCGCATGAGGGTCGTGGAGAACGAACGCCCCCAACAGTTCAATGCACAGCCGAAACCACCTCGCGGTCACCCGCAGCGAAGTTTGTCAGCGAGGTGGCCTGTTCCGAGCGAGAAAGCCTTGATCAACGCGGAACCTACCCTCGTTTGTGTGGTAAAGCAGCGCCATCGCCTTCCTGGTTCAGAGGAGCGCCACCAACAACGCAAAAAAATCCCTTCGCTTTGTTGGCGATTCCGGTCGATGAACGTTCATTGAGTCAGACGATGCTCGCGGCGGCGATAACCATGCCCCCCCCCCCCCCCCCCCCCCCCCCCCCCCCCCCCCCCCCCCCCCCCCCCCCCCCCCCCCCCCCC